ATAGGCCTGCTCCCACTCCCACTAAAGCATATGGCAAAATGGATGTGGTCATTAGTCTCTGGAAGTAGGTATTTATGGGATACAATTCAGGTATTGATTTCACTACTCTGAAAATACTGCTGAAATAAAAAAAAAAAACGCCAAATGAGTGTCAGACGTTTGGATTCTTTAAGTTACAGCTGCCAGTCAGGAGGAGGGAGAGAGAGAGAGAAAATGTCTGCAGCACTTACTAAGGCAACTATTCATTAAGCAAGTTAATTATTTTTCACAGTCTTTAAAACTAAAAGCTTTTTATATAAATGCTATATTAACAAAGCATATTAAACTTGACATTTAGAAAAACCTAAACCAGGCAATTCCAGTTTAAAAGAGCTGCTCTGATATCACTCAGCATGTGGTTACCAAGCAGAGGGTCTTAAAGGGCATGGGTCTTTATTCACAGAACCTGCAATTACAAAGCAGAAGCACATAGCTAAGGATGAAATCAGATTTTCATAGTTTTGTTGCTTCAAGTCTGAAATTTAAAATTACATTTACAGTTAAAAATCCAGGCAATGCACAAGAAATTTTCTAATTACATTTATTGAGTTGCTAGGTCCCTAATATAACAGGAATATAATTGTTACAGTTCTGCAGTAAACACTGTTAACTTCAAGTATTTTTCTAGGAGCACAATACTATACACACATATTAACAATGACTCCGTATTGTATTTGCCAAAATTCTGAACAGGAGGTTATTATATATTCAGTACAACTCTTCCTTCACAAAACCCAGACACCCAGTTGCAGTAATACTACAATATAAGTTTAATAGCTTCAGTGGCAATGGAGAGAAGAATTCTGCAGAGAAATCATGTCACATCTATAAGTCATTAAATCCAATAAAATGAATATTAAAAATAATAAAAAGTAGACACCGGGGTTTACAAGAAGATTCCTAATGCAACATAGTTTTACAGATTGCTTATAAAAATAAAATCTAGTGGATGGTGTAGGGAGGGATTTAAAAATAATTTATTTGGAAAATCAGCAAAATGTTTAGCCCTTGCTGGTCAGATGCAAGCATTTCAATAGAAATTCTGAAGAGAAAAAAGCCAAGTTCATAATTAAACTGACATTTAAAAAAAAAAATCAAGAACAGACTTGACATCAAAAGAAAAACCAAAATAATTCCCATTTTTATTTTATTTTACAGAGCAATTAGCAAGCAATTAGTTAAGTATAATTTTCTGTGACAAGCATGTTGACAACAGTATCTTTTGAGAAATCTCTACCCTGTACTTCAGAGGTACTCAGAGCTCCCCTTTCTGTGGCTCAAGATAAAGGCAAAGCAAATTTTAGTTACAATAGGCCAGATTGTGATCAAGTATTCCCATTAAAATCAAAACACACCAGATCACCCAGAACAAAAACCTGAATGCAAGACATGAAAACAAATGAGAAAATACCACAGTAGACATAACCATATATCCCTAGGAGGCTTTTGAGCATATTTATTATATGGTTAGAGCTTCTGGTTAGTCTTTATTTAGTTTTGTAGTTTCTAAAATGAGTGAAATCCTCCAAGTCCTTTCTCAGACAGAGCTATTATTGACCAAAGTCTTTATTCAACGTTTTTGTGACAAATCCAATACACATACCAAGAAAGAGAGAAATCTTTTATACTTTTATTTTACAAATGAATATTGGACACAAAAATCAACTCAATCACTAGCTGTAGCCTTTGCAATAGAATTGAATTTAGTTATTTAATTATAAATCCATGAAACACTAAACTCCAGTAAAAAGAATGGCAAACATATCTATTTTCATAGCATTCCTGAGAAGCCAGATTTTTACTGACCGACTACTTTTGGCAACTGATCTGAATCAGTTCAACAAAGTGACAACCTATCATTCCAAACTAATGTGATCCCATACACACAAGAAAAAAGTGGTAGGCCAAATTTATTCTCACTTCTGTCCACAGATCAGTGTATTAATCTACATATGTATTTATTATAAAACTAATGGCCTTGTACACGCTCTTTTGCATACGCAGCAAAAAATACATTGTAACTATAGTAGTTAAATGGGAATCATCCCAATCCCAATAGAGACTTGAACTACTCTGCCTCCCACACAGGCTGTACCTACATTCTCCAAGGGTGCATCTCTACACCGCAAGTCTGTTATTTCAATAAATTCGAAACAGACCACTTATTTCAACTTCTGTAAACGTCATGTCACGAGGAATAGCTATTTTGGAAGAGTTATTTCAAAATAGCGGTAGCATGGATGCTCCACTGCTGCTATTTCGAAATAGCTCCTCCTCAGGGCCATTCAAAGTAGTTATTCCCCAGTGTTTCCTGGGGCTCTAAATTATGGTAGCACGTCCACATTAGGGGAGCCTACCTTGGACTAATTTTGAGGCTTCCCTGTAGTATATACGTGCTATTTCTTCCAGAATAGCTTATTTCAAAATAACCGTGAAGTATACACGTACACCAAGAGAGGTGAGGAACTAATTCAAAATGAATAATTTGACTCTTCAGTTTGTTAGTTTCAACTGATTAAGGGGATCCAATGTATTCATTAATCAAAATTCTCTCTCAAATATCAATTACTTTTGAATTGAAAATAGTGTTCTTTGAAAAGCATAGGACAGATGGCACAATGTTATTCTTTTTAGCCAGTGAGAAACTTTAGAGCCAAGTTTGCAATACAAATATTTATAATATACCTTCACAATTTCAGCAGGGTAGTCATGTTACTATGTTTCAGCACAAAGAAAGAGGAGTCACGTGGCACCTTAAAGACTAACACATTTATTTGAACATAAGCTTTTGTGGGCTGTAACCCACTTCCTCAGATGTATGAAGGGGAAACTTCAGTTTGCAAGGTATATATACACATGCAAAGATGGCTGTGTTACATTACTATGTGGAAGACTAGCCTAAAGAGGTCAATTCAGTCAGGGTGGATGTGGCCCATTCCCAACAGTTTATGAGAAGGTGTGAATACCAAAAAGATTATTTTTTGTAGTGAACTTGCCACTCCTAGTCTCTATCTACAACCTATCATGGAAGACAATACTTCACTTTCACAGACTTTGGGAGGCATTCCAGGCCTCACTTACAGCAGTCTTCCCTCGCCAACTCTGCAGTCTGAAGCAAATACTCATCAGTAACTACTCATCAGCAACTATACAACACATCACAAACCCCGGAACCAAACCCGGCAACAATTCCTGTTGCCAATTCTGTCTACATATCTACTCAAGTTACACCATCACAGGATCAAGCCACGTCAGCCATGCCATCAGGGGCTCGTTCACCTAGACATCTACTCATGTGCCATCTTCCATGTATATTGGGCAAAACTGGACTATATATGCAAAAGAATAAATAGATACACAGCAAACATCAAGAACGATAAAATTAAACAGTAAGAGAACACTTCATACTTCAGCCAAAAAAAACCCCACTCCTTCAGAAACAGACTTCAATGAGAAATTGCACAGCTGGAATTCATATGCAAACTTGACACTATCAAATTGGATCTCAAGAGAGACTGGGGGTGGCTAGATCACTACAAAAGTAATTTTCCCTCTTTTGGTATTCACGCTCTCATTATCAACTGTTGGCAATGGGCCACATCCACTCTGAATAAATTGACCTCTTTGGCACTGTTGCGCCACATAGTAATAGAACACATCCATTTTGCACGTGTATATATGCCTGCCAAACTGAAGTTTCCACTCCATACATCTGAGGAAGTGAGTTCCAGCCCCCAAAATATTATGCCTAAATAAACATATTAATCTTTAAGGTACCACTGGACTCCTCATTGTTTTTCCACGAAAAAATTTACTTTCCACAACTATTTCTGTTATCTCTCAAGATTCTGTTTCTATTTAGGTAACTGCCAGTAAAGCAAATTATTGAAATATTTCAAGAAAGCAAAACAAGCAAACCACAAATATAGACGAAACAAGTTCATTTAAATCATCTGAATGAGCATTAGAGGGAAGGAGGTTTTTGGGTGGATACTGGAGGAGCGGGGGAAGGGAAGAACAAAGGAAAAAAGGTTGTCTAAATATTTGCCAGTCTCTACCTTCTGTTCAGCTACAATTAAATCAAACATGATCCTAATGGCTTTGTATGGAAGACTAGGTATTTTTTCTTTTTTTAAATTTATGACTAGAGCTAAATCAAACTATTCATTCTACATGCATCATAATAAATGAAATTACATAGACTTTGCATATCAACTGATTTTCATGTCAGTCAACAGTTTTTATGAAAAACTGTTCTCAGTACTGTGGTTTCTCCTACACAAGTACTTTCATATAAATGGGACTTATTTAATTTTGTTCATATCAAATTGTCTGAGCTGCTAATATGCTATTTGTCTAATGCTAAGATAAATTAACATAACCAATAAGCTGAACCAAATACAATAAGAAGAATCTTAAGCATTCTGAATCGAATATTTATGCTAAGGATGGTAAACTTGATTTTTTTTAAATTTGAACAATGCATTATGTAACAGTCCAAGTTCCAGGTCAGAACAAATACTTCTAAAAACATCTGTGACCTTTGTACATAAATTTAGAACTTGGGCTTACCCCTTAGAGCAGGCAGCAGTGATCTCTCTTTCTTGTCATCACATTTGTTACATTCACTGAAGTACAAGAGTAAAAAGACATCCACAAGCACCCACATCAGAGAAGTGGCAAGAACCACCTTGCAGTAGACAAATCTCCTCATCTCTTGACTTTGTTTCTAGTTCACACACTGAGTAAAGATGACTATTGCTGGGATGTATCCAAGCCACACAGTTAAATTCCAGTATGAAGGTGAAGTCGAGAACATCCACTGCAATTAAAAAAAAAGTTGTAATTACCTAACAAGAATACATGGTTTAAGGTCCAAAATTATACAAACATCATTCTAAGATGCTTTTACTCTATTTTAAATATTAACTTATTTTGTTTTACTTCTATCTAAATATCCTCTTTGTAGTACTAACCATCTTTCAAAGAATTGTTTCCTTTGTTTAATAAGCCCAGTTCTTATTTTTTCCTGTGTTGGATTTTATCTTTCCCAGAATCTGTAAACACAGAAAGCTGAAAATGCACACCACCACTTTAGCACCAGATTTCACTGCAGGAAGTTGTCACAAGATATTATAACAACCTACATGGAACACTGCCTTTAAAAGAGTATACTTGGGCCAGGAGATTACTCTTCACTTCATCATTTATTGTAATATATTAAAGTTAGATTCTAATTTCCACACCTACCATTACAAACAGCATTCCATGCAGAGATGGGAAATCATATAGGACACTTCCTGTATTGATCCAGGTTTCAAAAGCAGTGTCCTAATGTTCAGCAGCTGGATACCTTACTGAGGGCCTAATAAAACAAAATATGGCATCTATTAGAACTTACTTGCATGTGTTTCCCAAAACTAAATGACAATTTAGCGAGCCCTTATTTGCAAGAGCATGCTCCAGTATGAGGATCTAAATGTTAACCTACTTAAAAGATTGCATTAAAGAAAATTATGGCAAACTACTTTCTTGATATTGGGGGGAAATCTCTGTTGGCTTCTCAAAAAGAAGGTAGCAAAGAGAGTTCATCTTCTTTGGGTGACACAGCTAACTCAGGACCTAAGTTATTGTACATGCATGTATGCCATACAATCCTGTACCAGTCTGCTCCCTTCTTGTAAGAATCTCTCTCACTAGAGTACTGGGACAGGATTCTTGTATATTTCAATATTCTCCATGCTGATTAAAAACAAAAGCTAAGGATGCAATTCAAACATGCACTCCCTCAAACAAAACCAAAGATGGTAAACCTGATTTTATGCTAGTGAGCAATGAATGGCCCTTCAGAAATGTTTTTCCCATTAGCTTTGCCCTTATCTAGTCCCTGTTCTATATTCTGTTAGTATCAGTGTGCACACAATTCTGCGGAACATAGAAGCTGACACACACTTTTGTCCCAATAATCTTGCAATTCAGTTATGTCTCAAAATATTTTGCATACACCTTTGTTGGTGGACCACCCCTGAGTGGTTTCCATTGGGGTGGAAGGAAGAGGGAGAAGGGTTGGGGAAAAAAGCAGGAAAATGTGCTGCTCAGGAGAAGTTCTGGAGCACATAAGAGTACAGGCAGTCCCCGAGTTAAGCGGATCCGACTTACGTCGGATCCACAGTTACGAACGGGGCACTTCCTCTCCCTGGTCTGCTCGAGACCAGGGAGAGGAAGCAAAGCGGCGGCGGAACGCGTGGCCAGCTGACAGCCCAGACACGTCTGGGCTGTCAGCTGGCCACGCGTTCCGCCGCCGCTTTGCTTCCTCTCCCTGGTCTGCTCGAGACCAGGGAGAGGAAGCAAAGCGGCGGCGGAACGCGTGGCCAGCTGACAGCCCAGACACGTCTGGGCTGTCAGCTGGCCACGCGTTCCGCCGCCGCTTTGCTTCCTCTCCCTGGTCTGCTCGAGACCAGGGAGAGGAAGCAAAGCGGCGGCGGAACGCGTGGCCAGCTGACAGCCCAGACACGTCTGGGCTGTCAGCTGGCCACGCGTTCCGCCGCCGCTTTGCTTCCTCTCCCTGGTCTGCTCGAGACCAGGGAGAGGAAGCAAAGCGGCGGCGGAACGCGTGGCCAGCTGACAGCCCAGACACGTCTGGGCTGTCAGCTGGCCACGCGTTCCGCCGCCGCTTTGCTTCCTCTCCCTGGTCTGCTCGAGACCAGGGAGAGGAAGCAAAGCGGCGGCGGAACGCGTGGCCAGCTGACAGCCCAGACACGTCTGGGCTGTCAGCTGGCCACGCGTTCCGCCGCCGCTTTGCTTCCTCTCCCTGGTCTGCTCGAGACCAGGGAGAGGAAGCAAAGCGGCGGCGGAACGCGTGGCCAGCTGACAGCCCAGACACGTCTGGGCTGTCAGCTGGCCACGCGTTCCGCCGCCGCTTTGCTTCCTCTCCCTGGTCTGCTCGAGACCAGGGAGAGGAAGCAAAGCGGCGGCGGAACGCGTGGCCAGCTGACAGCCCAGACACGTCTGGGCTGTCAGCTGGCCACGCGTTCCGCCGCCGCTTTGCTTCCTCTCCCTGGTCTGCTCGAGACCAGGGAGAGGAAGCAAAGCGGCGGCGGAACGCGTGGCCAGCTGACAGCCCAGACACGTCTGGGCTGTCAGCTGGCCACGCGTTCCGCCGCCGCTTTGCTTCCTCTCCCTGGTCTGCTCGAGACCAGGGAGAGGAAGTGCCCCGTTCGTAACTGTGGATCCGACGTAAGTCGGATCCGCTTAACTCGGGGACTGCCTGTACTTAACAAATGGCCACTAGAGCAGCAATAGGCAACCTAAGTCCAGTGAGAGGGATGAATGAGTGGCCCTCTAGCTCAGTGGGCTGCAAGACTGTTGTAACCAAGAGACTGTCCCCCAGAATAGTTTTGCTAACTGTATTTGCATACCTAGAATTTGCAGAGGGGGCAGATTGAACTGTAGCAGTACTTGGATTGGATGCAGAGGGAGCACATGGATCTTACAGTCATTATTGTGTGCAATCAGCCCACACCTCACATCACATTCCCTTGCTTTGTGCACCTGTCACTTTAGTAATACTGATAAGAAAAAAAACCATGATACACAGAAACCAGCAGAATCTGATAACCCATGTGTTGGTAACTCCGCACAGAGTCGCTATGGCCCACATAGATGTCCCAGCATTGCACTAGAGCAGTGTTTCTCAAACTGTGGGTCGCGACCCTCAGGGGAGTCGCAATCAACTTAGAGGGGGGGTCGCAGCAGGATTTGGTTTTTAAACTTACGACTTCTCTTCCCCGGGCCATGAAGAGCGGCAGGGCGGAGGAAGGCAACCGCCAGCAAGCCGCGCAGCATGGCTGCGAGACTCCAGGAGCATGGCTCAGCTGCAGGAGGAGGAAAGGCGGCAGGAGAGTGAGTCCGGTGCAGGAGCACACATGCGAGGGGCTGAACATATCCCCAGCTGGGAGAGGGCGGGGTCCCTCAGGCAGCGGGCTGGGGGATTCATAGAATCATAGAACTAGAAGAGAGCTCAGAAGGTCATCAAGTCCAGCCCCCTGCTCTAGGCAGGACCAATTCCAACTAAATCAACCTGGCCAGGGCTTTGTCAAGCCGAGACTTAAACACCTCTAGGGATGGAGACTCCACTACTTCCCTAGGTAACCCATTCCAGTGCTTCACCACCCTCCTAGTGAAATAGTTTTTCCTAATATCCAACCTGGACCTCTCCCACCACAACTTGAGACCATTGCTCCTTGTTCTGCCATCTGTCACTACTGAGAACAGCCTCTCTCCATCCTCTTTGGAACCTCCCTTCAGGAAGTTGAAGGCTGCTATCAAATCCCCCCTCACTCCTCACTTCTGCAGATTAAATCCCTCAGCCTCTCCTCGTAGGTCATATGCTCCAGCCCCCTAATCATTTTGGTTTCCCTCCGCTGGACCCTCTCCAATGCGTCCACATCCTTTTTGTAGTGGGGGCCCAGAACTGGACACAATACTCCAGATGCGGCCTCACCAAAGCCGAATAAAGGGGAATGATGACATCTCTTGATCTGCTGGCAATGCTCCTCTTAATGCAACCTAATATGCCATTAGCCTTCTTGCCTACAAGGGCACACTGTTGACTCATATCTAGCTTCTCATCCACTGTAACCCCCAGGTCCTTTTCTGCAGAACTACTACTTAACCGGTTGGTCCCCAGCTTGTAACTATGCTTGGGATTCTTCCGTCCCAAGTGCAGGACTCTACACTTGTCCTTGTTGAACCTCATCAGATTTCTTGTGGCCCAATCCTCCAATTTGTCTAAGTCACTCTGGACCCTCTCTCTGCCCTCAAGCGTATCTACTTCTCCCCCTAGCTTAGTGTCATCCGCAAACTTGCTGAGGGTGCAATCCATCCCCTCATCCAGATCATTAATAAAGATATTGAACAAAACC